TACAGACAAATGAACGTAACTATATACAATTAAAGCTTAATAATCAAAACTTTCTGAGTCAAACATTCCATCAATTGTTTGCGTCCAAACAACGACTGAACTGCGACACTCAGGACTGAACAACCATTAAACCAGTCTCTGATCTTATAAAACTTGTTTACAGGCATTTTAACTTATGGCACGGTTTAGACTAAGAAAGGAGGAAAAGAGAATTAGTAAATGTTTAGTTTTTATCATTTATCAAAGGAGAGACCAGAACAGACCAAAACCTTGGCTGGACCTTCTAGCTGTACAAACAGACACTTCTACCTTTCGATGAGGATCTACTGTCAGTCAGCTTTCAGGAGGACTCAGTTCCTTAAGACCAGGACAGGAGACTTAGGACCAGTACGACTCCAGGCTTTGTTTACAGCATCTCAGAAAGAGACAAGGTTCAGCTCGGCCGTCCGGCTCTTCTCAGGGAAAAAGTTCAAAGTTGGAGTTAAGGCTGATGTTGCCTTAGCTCCAGACAGGAGACTTTTTCTCATTAGCTCTTGAGAAAAAAAAAATCCCGTTAAGCTGAATGAGACGAAAAAACTTGTGTTTCGTTCCTCATTCAAATTCAGACTAACTGAGCCAGGTTGGTGTGTTAATCCTCTAAAGGAAAGAGAAACTAGTCACGACCTGGACTCTGGTAAACAGAACTTGTTGAGACTGTAGAATGCTTCTTGCCAAACAATAACTTGCCAAAACAATATATAAACTCAACAATCAACTTTGATTAAATGGAATAATAAAAAGAAACACACTTAATCCCTCTACTGTAAGACAACAGTTGATCAAACAAGCATTTGTGTAAAACATGTAATGTTTCAACCATTTTCTCATGGTGTGTATTTTCTTTTTTCTGAAAATAAATGCAAAGATTAACTCAATAAACAACTTTGATTTATAACACGATGATAACTTGGAAGAACGTTATTATTTTGTTTATTAAAGAAAAGAAAATAAATCTTTTAAGAAAGGTTTTGTTTTTCCTTTAAAAAAACCAGAGTCAAAGACAAGTGGAAATGTTTATTTGCCCTTTGGGGAGCCCCTACTCACGTAACATGTTGATGCTTGGGCACGGACATGAGAACGTTAGTTAACCTGATGGATCATCAGAGCTAAACAACCAATTAAAATCTGAAGCTCCTTTTGAGCTATAACCATTTTTGTTTGTCCAGATACCCCTTTTTCAGAGAAACTGGAGTTGGTGGCACTGATTGGTTGGTCTGATTGATAGAGCTTCATCAGAGCTAAACAACAAAAGAAATCTGAAGCTTCTGTGTTTAATAGTTTTTGAGTTATAAGCATTTTTGCATGTCCTGACACCCCCCTGTTTGGATGGAGCCCCCTCCTCAAATATGGGGTCCATCATAAAACCGTTGGCTGGAGCAGTGTAGGTCAGACTCATCTACAGTCCTGACTAATTTCATGTTGATTGGTGCAGCTGTTTTTGTGCTACGGTTGACCAAAAATCACTGAAAACAATGTGACTCCTGCTAACGCTTCGTGTGCAGGGTCATAATGACGTGAAAAACACAATTAATTATAGGTTATTTTAAAATACACATAAATTGTCAACACTAGTTTTTGTTCTGTTGTTGCCAGTTTGTTACAGAAACCAACCTGTAGAGTGTTGATCATTAAACATCTGAATCAGGCAGAATAAAGCTACTTATTTAAAATAGATAATATGCATGACGTACAAGATGTGTCTGTAATAAATGTCACATTACAAAGAAAGCCTGCGATTCTGTGCACCATTAAAGGTGCCCTGTTTTTCCACTTGAGCACCTGCCGCCCAAAACACCTGTGCACGCCACTGTCAACGTATATTTGTAAAACAAAAAGTCCACCTGTACCTTCTGAGAGGGTTTGAGATCAATTTTCAGGAGGACAATAGGACACACGCCCTCTGCTGGTGTAGGAATGTAAAACTGGCTCAGATGTTTTACGTAAAGCTGTAAAAAAGGAAGCAGTTTGGTTGACAAATAGTTAATATCGTCACATTTCCATCCTATTAGTGACAGTGGAATTTATTCAAAAAGAGCAGAACTGTAAGGTTAATGTTGATTGTTTCTAACTAAAGTATTGTGTATTTTGTTTGCTTTACTGGGCTTTAAAATCATAAAATTTAATAAATGGATGAGTACAGAAACCAAGAATGAAATCTGAGAGTAATTTTCAGCCAAATAAAAAATTATATTTCTTTACAGCTCAGTCATCTGGGATGAATTAATGTGGTCTGCATTAGTTATCTTATTGGATGACAGGAGTTTAATATATGTGGATGAGAAAAGTATGGGCAGTGCTTAAAGAGTAACTTACCCCAAATTAACTTTTTTTAGCTGATAAACTGTCTAGAATGTGTCTAAAATGTTATATAGTACTGTTTCAGTGGTAATTTTGATGTTTTTGTGTGTATTTGTTCAAATCTGTAATATTTGGTGTAAAAACGTGTTTTTGCTGCTCATATGGGTAGAGCAGTGGTACTGCAGGCTAATTTACATATTGGTTAACGGCTCTCCACGGTGACGTGTCTTCTCCACGGTTTCGTCACAGCGGCTGTGTTCTGGTATAAAAGCCTCTCTCTAAACACACACACACACACACACACACACACACACACACACACACACACACACACACACACACACACACACACACACACACACACACACACACACCAGCAGTATGTCCTGCACAGCGGGAGGGGAGGAGGGGAAAGAAAGGCAGCAGGGCAGCTTCAGCCTGAACCCACACATGTCAACTTGTACAGATTATCTGTAAGTTATAAAGATTTGACATCATTTTGCAGGGATACAGACATATAGAGCAATCTCACGGATTTAACCGGACCGAACTTCAGTCAAACAAGACCCAACACTTTTATTCCTGATTTAAACTAGTGATCATGTGAGCAGCTGTGTGCTTTTATTTTTTTATGTCAGGCTGTCGGAGCGCTCCTCCTCCTCTGTCCGAGGCTGGTGTGGGGTGAAAATCCTCCACCTCAGACGTTCAGAGATGTAACTATCTGCGATACAGTGGTCACTCTCCATGTAGCATCAATTATGCTAATGCTAGCTGTCACGTTCTCTCGTCCTGGCCACACCTCCGCTCTCTAAAGGGCTCGACACACGGGCAGCGACAAACTACAGCGATTAACGGCTGTCATCGCAGCCAGGGTGAAACCCGACACTCGGGACGCGATAGCGATCGCAGCGTTGCGAATCGCGCTCTCGGGTCGCTTGTCTTCACAAAATTTGATTGGTTCTTTACTCTGAAGGCGGGTGTGCGTTACGGACGTGTAAACTAAAATCTTGTGATGCTAATGATATTGAAAAACAAACACACATCAAGATACAGTTTTATGAGGAAAAACTTACCATAAACTTCACCCTGGTGCCAATAAATTCCCACAAAGCTGCCTTTTTTAGTAATCACTTGGTGAAAGTGTTAGCGAACGGCAGTGTGTAGCATACTCTCCTCTCATTGGTCAGTCAATGAAACCCTCATTGATTGGTTGTACGCTAAGCGACGGCGACGAAAGTTGAACATGTCGCGTCGCAAGCTCGCGTGTGCACGTGTACGAGCGCGAAATTTCACATGCACTATTTTCGCCGGCCGCTTAGCTGAGAGCAAGCGACTGTCGCCTCACCGCACAGGCTCCACAGGAAATGAATGGAGAGCGAGCGACGTCGCCTACTGTCGCTGTGTCCAAAACGACAGGCCGGGTCCTGCGGAGGACCCAGACTTCCCGGTCTCGGCGGGCCGGGTCCTTGGTAGACCGGGAAGACCGGAAAAAAAGAGGCTGTGGATTTGGACGGTCTAGCCTCCCCTCCTTACCCCGGCGTATGTCATGTCACCTAGCAACTGTGACGACGCTAAACAAGCAAACTTAAATCAAAACTAGAAAATTATCAATACATTAGCATTATTAATAGGGATGTCCCGATACCACTTTTTCACTTCCGATACGATACCGATATTACAACTTTGAGAAATGTCCGATAC